CTCTCTCCCCCCCCTCCTCCTCCTCCTCCTCCTCCTCCCTCCTCCTCCTCCTCCTCCTCCTCCTCCTCCTCCTCCTCCTCCTCTTCCACATTTCTGAAACTCGGTGGCACCCCTCACGCAGATCGGCGGGGCCAGGGTCCAAACACATATGGGATTTGCAATATTTCTGACATTCGGTGGCACCCCATCCACAGATCGGCGGGGCCAGGGTGCAACAAATACATGGATTTGCCACATTTCTTGAATTCGCTGGCACCCCTGCTCAGATCGGCGGGGTCAATATCGAAAAACACAAGAGATTTGCCACATTTCTGAAAATCGGCGGCACCCCTCACGCAGATCGGCAGGGTCAGGGTCCAACAACACAGGGGATTTGCCACACGTCTAAAAAACGGCGGCACCCCTCACGCAAATCGGCAGGGTGAGTCCAAAAACATATGGGATTTGCAACATTTCTGAAATTCGGCGGCGCCCCTCACGCAGATCCGTGGGGTCAGGGTTCAAACGCACATGGGATTTGCCACATTTCTGACATTCGGCGGAACCCCTCACGCAGATCCGTAGGGTCTGGGTCGAAAAACAAACAGGTCCCGACACTGCTTCACGGCGGCGCCCACACCTCATGATTTAGCTTTTGCATCTCCCAGTATCCGAGACAGGGAGCCGGCGGCATTGGGAGAAACCCTCATGTGTACATGTGTATGTATGTATGTATGTATGTATGTATGTAGGTAGGTAGGTAGGTATGTATGTATGCATTTACATACATATATCTGTACTACACATACCAGAACCACGCGCGCGCTACGCGCGCGCTTAAGTTCTAGTCGCACGTGAGCCACGGGTGCCGTTGTAAGCCCCGCTGTGGCCACAACGACGATTTCCAGCGTTCTCGGGTCCATGCCAGAGACGCAGAGAAACGCGTAGTCAGAACGCGGGGCGCCACGTTCCCGCGCATTTCACAATCTCGCTGCCGCCTTTGTTTGGTTTATCGAACTGCGTTTGTTTCTCCACTTCCACTTCCGTTCTGCCCCGTCGCAACACCCAATAATTTTGCACATTTGCTCAGTCACCCCATGCCCGATCACGCAAGCATCCGCCAGCTCCTGATGTTGGGGTTGGCTCGGGGCCTCGTTGCGCGCGCGTGGGGGCGCGTTGTTTTTCTTCCTCTTCCCTGTGCTCCAGGTTTCTCGTTCACAACGGTCGTTCAGCTGTCGGGTATTTGCAGAGGGCGCGCGCAGATGCCGTAGTGATCAGTGCCCTTCTCTGCAATCAGGTGTTGTCGAGTCCGTCCACGGGAGTGGGGCAACTTCTTTGTGCTGGACGCCAAACCTCATGCCGGCGATGATCGCACCCGTGGGAGCAGAAGGCTCGGGTCACGTGGGATGCTCAATGATCTGCCTGGCAAATCCCATGTATGGGGTTACGTGGAGCTCTGACGGGGCTTCTGGCGGTACCTTCTTCGCGCTCTGGCGAGGACTTTCAGGAGGTGAAGGGGGGGGCACGAAATCTAAACGATTGTATGGTATAGCCACACGCCGATCGCTCGGGCGGGTCCGCCCTGCAAGGGTGGGAGGAGCAAGAACCGCGTGAAAGAGTATGGTGTAGGGATGCCCTGCTCTCTCTGGCGGGGGTTTCCCTGGCGCTCTGGCGGGGCTTGCCGAGGAGGGGAGGGAGGAACACGAAACCTGAGGATAATTATGGTATAGCCACATCCCGTGCGCTCTAACGGAGCTATTTCGGGTGCGGTGGGAAGAGCAAAACGTAACAGGGACTGTATATGGTATAGCAACACCACTCTCGCTTTGCCAGGGCCGCCCTTGAGGGGTGGGACGGGCAAAGCAACTTATGAACTGATAGGGTATAGCGATGCCCCGCTCGCTCTGGCGGGGCCTGTCTGGCGCTCTGGCGGGACCGTCCCAGGAGAGGAGGGCGAAGCACGATAGCTGAGGGGTGAGGGGAAGAAGAGGAGAGAGGAGGTAATGGAGGAGGGGGCGGGAGGGAGGGAAGGAGGGACAGAAGGGGGAGGCCCGGGCCATCTGGGCCGTCTTCGAGCGCCCTGGGGCCTCCCGCTCCCGCTCTGTGGCCCATCTTGGGCCTGTCCTGGGGCCTCTTGGGCCGTCTGGGGCTCCTCGTGGGCAATTTGCAGGCTCTTTGGAGCCGTCTTGGAGCTCTTTTGGGGCGTCTTCGGCGGTCTTGGGGCGGTCTTGGGGGCGTCTTCGGCCTTCTTCGAGAATTGGAAGCTCGAGAACGCGAGAAAGCGAAAAATACGAACAAACCAATGCACATCAATGATTTGGGCCTCTTCGGGCTCTCTCGGGACGTCTCTCGGAGCTCTCTTGGGCCCTCTTGGAGGCTTCTTGGACAAATGCTGTAACGCTCTTGTGCCCCCATGCCCTGGCCCTGGGCCCGCCATGCCCTGGCGAGGTCCTTGGGCGGGACCCCCCCGTTGGCCACGTCCCCGGGTGTGTGTGTGTGTGTGTGTATATATATACATACATACATACATACATACATACACACACACACATATATATATATATATATGTTATAACCATCGCGCGCTCTTCGCGCGCGCGCGCGATGGTTCTAGCCCAGGCTGGGGGCGCGCTAGAAGATCTTGGACAGCGCTCTCAAGAACAGGCGCGTGACATAGTCGTGCCTCCTGAGGGCCTCTTGGGAACCTCTTGGGTCTTCGTGGGGGCATCTGAAGGGCTTCTGGTGGGTTCTCCGTGCTTCCTCCATTGGCTGTTGGAGGCATCTCTTGGGTGCTTCTCGGGGGGGCTTCTTGGGGTCCCTTGGGGGCATCGTCAGGGTTCTCCGGGCAGTTGGAAAGTGATGTTGTGCAGTCTCTGAAGCAATCAATTGGCTGACTTGGCTGCGTGGAGGCCCGGTTTGAGGCCACATTGGGGCAATCCGGAAGCCTCCTGGGGCCTCCTTGAAGCAATTTTGATGCATCGAGAGCACTGTTCGGCTATCTTGGGGCCTTTTGGGTCCTGCTGGGTGGCTTTGGGGGGCCTCGTCGGACCACTTGGGGACTGTTGGTGCCTCCTGTCCATAACAAAGAACCAAAAACAAAAAAAAATAAAAAAAAAAAAACAACAAAAAAAAAAAAAAAAGGAAAAAAAAAAAAAAAAAAAAAAGAAAAAAAGAAAAAAAACAAAGAAAACAAAAAAAAAAAAAAAATAAGAAAAAAAAAAAAAAAAAAAGAAAAAAAGAAAAAAAGAAAAAATAAAACGCAAAAAGAAAAAAAAAAAAAAAAAAAAAAAAAAAAGAAAAAAAAAAAAAATAAAAAAAAGAAAGATAAAAAAAAAAAAGTAAAAACAAAAAAAACAAAAACTAAAAAAAATAATAAAAAAAAAAAGTAAAAAAAAAAATAAGATAAAAATAAGAGGAACAAAAAAAAAACGAAAAAAAAAAAAAAGAAACAAAACCCAAACAGAAAAGTCGCCTCCACGTCCCCGGACCACCAACCGGACCACCCGGACCACCCCCTGGACCAACTGGACCATCCGGACCCACCAGGACCACCCGGACCACCCGGACCACCCGGACCACTCGGACCAACTAGACCACCCGGACCACATGGACCAACCGGACCACCCAGACGACCCAAACCACCCGCCGGACCACCCGGACCACCCGGACCACCCGGACCAACCGGACCAGCCGGACCACCCGGACCACCCGGACCAGCGGACCACCCGGACCACCCGGACCAGACCACCCAGAGGAACCGGACCAACCGGACCAGCTGGACCAACCAGACCACCCGGACCAACCGGACCACCCGGACGAGGACCACCCAGACCTTCCGGACCACCCAGACCTCCCGGACCTTCCGGCCTGGAGCACCCGGATCATGCATCCAGACCACCCGGACCACCGGGAGATT